ACGCACCTGTCCATAAGACCGCACCTAGGTTCATAGAGGCAGAAAACAGGAAAAACTGCAGACACAGTACAGGAGATGACCAGAGACTGTGGACAGCACAGGGATGACCAGAGACTGCGGACAGCACAAGGGAATGACCAGAGACTGCGGGACATGCACAGGGATGACCCAGAGACTGCGGATAGCAACTGGGATGACCAGAGACTGCGGACAGTACAGATGACTGCTGACCTTTGGGGAGGTGGGGAGCGGTACCTGAAATTGACAGTACCCGCTCTTACTTCTGCAGAGTTTTTGTTTGATCTATACCTGTTCTCGATCCAGCCGGCGCGCTGTCCTTCCCGGCTTCTGTAATGGGTGCTCGGCATGACAGCCTGCGTGCCCAGTGCGCATGAGATCGAGAAGCACTTTGCGCTTTGTTGATTGGTCCGGCGGACTTCTGAGATCTGTCATGTGTCCCCCAGGTACCGCCTTACCATTCACAAAAAGCACCGCTTCATTGCGATCATGCGCACTTGTGCACCCGGCTGTCATGCCCAGTGCCCACACTACAGAAGCCGGGAAGACAGCACGCCGCTGGAGTCTTATACGGCGAAAAATACGGTAAGTGGAATGCAGTCATGGCATGATCCTAAAGTTATGGGCAGCGTTGTGGTATCGTAGGTGTGCTGTGGTAGGGCCAGTGTGTGAGTCCATGCTGAAAATAAAACATCAGTGAAAGCCAGATGGAAAACCTGCATATCATTAAGATGAAAAGCAAATCGTATCATAATCTGTTTAGGGCAAAAACATTGCAACATCACAGAAAAAGCAGGGCAACCATTCAGAAAAAAAAAAAAAAAAAAAAGCAACCATCAAAGAAAACAGTTGGGAAAAATGAGACATAGTGCACCATTTCTTTTTGGAACCCTAAGGTATCTCTTATCTGTCCTAAACTCTTCTCTTCCCAACTTCCTCCCAAAAACTCAAACCATCCATCTCCCACCCCGCTCCCGCAGGACTCCACGACATTCTAAAAAATCAAGTAGCACCTCGTGTCTGAAAAGAAAAAAATAGCGGTAGCTAGGCAAGGGGAGAGAGGAGAGGACGGGACTTGGGGGGAGCTCAGCAGAAGCTCCAAATGATGGTTTCAAAACCTGTAAGCAGTAAATGTGGTTTAGATGGGTGTTATGACATGAGGTGGGGGAGGGGGCCGGACCCCGCAGGGAACAACACCTGGAGAGTGTAACGAGGTGATACTTGATTTCAAACAGATATGTAACATAATAATAGTATGGAAATGACAGCCCGGGTCCCGGATCCCTTCCTCCCCCCAACCCAGTCCTCCCCAGCCATCCCACACTACCCCTGGAAAAGGTATAAAGGCGAGCTGGAGTATGAAGCCTCTCACAGTAAACTCTGATGAAGAACAGTAGGGATCATGGTCAGGGAAATACAGACAATATGTAATGGAGGGCATGGAAATCAACCCTGGCCACTGCAAGACCAACAACAGACCCCTGGGAGGCCATACAACCAAACAGGGGCCGGGCATAGAGGGTCTGGAGATCCATACTCTCCAGAGACTCTAGGCAGTGGACAAATCAGCATATACATTACAAACAGGGCTAGAGAAAGACTGTAGGACCATCCCCCAGGCTTCCATCAGAGGTAGTGAAAATGCAGCAATAAAAAGGTCGATGACATGGAGGGTGCCTGCGGAGGTACATCAGGACTGGCGGTCCATTGGAGAAGCTGAGACAGAGAGGGAAAAGGTCTTCATGATCGATGAGGCGAATTTGGCAACATCTGCAGGGGCATTAAAAGACCTGGTCCAGGGCGGATGGGTTAGAGAGCAGAGGGTGAAGGTGTACAATTAAGGGGCCAAATAGGACCCGAGGTGCTACCGGCATGGTCCTGGAGTCGGATTGGAGGGATCTGGTAAGATCATAGTCTGGATAAGTATTGCTGATGAGAGAGAAAGTCAGGGAAGAGATTGAAGAAAGGCCTTTAGGCATCATGGCAGGGTCTGTGATGTGCAGGAGAGGCCGTCGGGCTGTTGTTGGTAGTGGAGCCTCTGGCAGGAAGTCTCAGAGGAGTGGAAGGGACTGATCGGCAGTGGCAGAGATGGGGGCCTTGCCAATCCATGTCACTTGGTACTCGACCATATTCAGTAGCATTTGGAAGACACAGAGATCTGTATCAATCTGGAAGCTCAACTAGAGGAATGTCCAGTGCGGAACAGAAGCTGGGGAGATCCTCTGGAACTCGCAGGTAGGCTGTGCGCCCCTGAGCTTGAGCGGAGAGACAGAATGGAAATCGCCACCTGTATGGTATGTTATAAGAGCAAAGTGTGTCCAGCAGGGGGCGAAAATCTCACCTTTGTTGCAAGGTTATGGAAGAGAGGTCCTGGAACAGGTGTATCTCATTACCCTGAAATAAAAGGCATCTTCTTTCTTTGGCCCTTCTGAGAATGTCTTCTTTGATTGGAAAGCTGACCAAGAAACACACCACATCTCTTGGGGGGTCAGAATCTCTGCCTCTGGAGCGATGTGCTCTGTGTGCACGTTCCAGATCAATGGGTGCAGCAGGTGGACGGCCCAGCAGATCATTGAAGATCGCAATTACTGTTTTGGGGATGTCACTCGGCTCCACAGATTCAGGCAAGCCACGCAATCTGATATTATGTCTGCGACCTCTATTATCCAGATCTTCAATCTGTCTATAAAAATCACGAATATGAGATGTGTGCGATACTGACAACTGCTGTATCTCCACTATGGCATCAGCATTAGATCTGCTTGTGAATTCCACTTCCTCTATTCTTGTACTTAACAAATGAAGGTCTTCCCTTAGGGCACTGAGGGCTGTGGTAAAAGTAGCTTTAATGTCAGCTGCAACTGCCTGCAGATCTCTTAACGAAAGTGTATGAGTGTCTGAAGAGAGATCATGCTGTGGGACAGATGCAATGCAGCCCCAATGTCTGTGCTATGAGCACATGTTGTTGTAGTGGAGGGAGGAGGGAGGGGGGAGAGGAGGATACTGCATGTGGCCTGTCCCTCTGCTGAGAGCTGAACAGCTCCTGAATATGTCTGGATTGCTGGGGGTTATGTGCCCGCGGAGAGCGGGAACGGGAGCCGATGACCTTCCGGTCCGCTTTCCCCATCATGTAAAGGCTCTGTCTCACCCGCTGCTTTGCTAATATCGATGCAAGGTCTCAGGCTGGCAGGAGCTCATGTATCACATGACCATCTTGGATCTCGGCAGACCACGCCCCCCATACCATAGTCTATAGCACAAGTATTACCTACTAGAAACGTTTTTGCCTAATTCTATGTTTTGAGCTGTGACCCTCTTTGTGTAGGCGTCTCAACTATTTTGACATGTGATCTATAAGGGTCACAGTAATTATCTTCAAGAGAGCAAAGATCCCTCACCGTCGTCTGATGGTACCAAATCATAAAGGTATCATTCTATCCCTGCACCATCACTGATCCATTGCAAGATCCTTCAGTATTCCTGTAAAGGTTGTCATTTGTTTGAAATATATTCAATATATCCTTTTCATCTGCAAGCATTGCTATGGTCCAAAACGATCCCCCCTCGAGAGCTCTACTCTCTAAACACAGTAGTTGCCAACTCATACCACCTGTGGCATCGCCATAAAAATAAATTTAACCTGATATCTATCACTTCTCCTTTAGCATCATTCCTTGGAGACCCCCATCTTTCTCCTGTTTTTAGAGACAGAAACTCTTTTATGTTATGGCAAAAACACAATCTCACTAACTTAAAATCATTTACTAGACACAATAAGTTTAGTTCCTTTACCTCTTTGCAAACAGAATACAATTTGCCTATAACAGACTTTCCAAGATATATACAGTATATACAAATTAAAGATTTTTTTTTCAAATCACTATTCCCTAACTCTTTAAACCTCTTATTCATTTTTTGAACAAATTCGTAAATATCATCCCCCAGAGCCAAAGGACTGATTTCTCGTATATACAGCTATCTAAATGAATTCTCCGTCTCTGAAAAATCAAATCCTATGTTACAATAGGAATCTGATTTAGATTGCTCCTTTTCTGCAGAAGAATGGGACTCCATGATTGAAAACTCGCTTAAGTGTGCTTGTTCAATATCTATCAGAGAAACGGCACTTAAAATACATACTAGATGGTATATGACCCCTTGTAAGATACACTCTTTAAAAATTTGAATTTTGAAATTTGAATTTCAGAATTTTAATTTTGAATTGCTTTAAAAATAACAGGTATACATAACAAATCCGAATATACACATTCCAAAAGTGAATCATTCTAGCATAACAGATATGAGGAAACAAAATTATTAACCTACCAAACAAATTGGAAACCAAACACATTTTTCCCTCGAGTTGAATGAAACCTACTCTGCAGTGTTTTGGCTAGTGAAGGGTAACATGTGAGCATTCTCTTTAGCAAGCAAGGTGCTGACATTGTTTGCTAGCACCTTGATTGCTAATATGACATGGCTCTTACTGGTTAGGTGCTGGCCTCCTCAGCTGAACTCAGATAACTACTAAATCATGAAAAAAATGAAAAAAAATGTAGTTTAGTTTGTGAGCTGACAAACAACTCTGCTACTTTGATCCCAATTCTGAATTAGGGTACTTGGGTGTTGCTACGGTTTTCATGTCAAATGTTTAAATATCTGATTTTTTTTTGTCCAAATGTCTACTGTAATATACTGTTTATATGTTTTGCATCATTAACATGTTTGGCATTAGCAAAGGCCTTAAGGAGTAATATTTTTTAGACTAACCTGACTCATTCCACCTGCTATCTAATTATGTACTTAGGTACATACTGTACCTATATCATTGTATATGTATCTCACATACATATCTTACTCGCTGATTCACAACGGAATCTTCTGCCCTAAGAATTTCACAAGAACCATGTGCACATTATTATAGCATTAACCTTCATTTTTTGTTCCAATTTTCCAGGTTTCATGCCCTGCAGAAAGTCATCATGCATGAATCTGTTTTCCCATTTTACTCCCGGCCCAGGACACCTTTTCTTTTCGACACAAATATTGTTGAAATCATCATTATATGTCTGATCACTGCAACTACTTTTATTATTATATTGCCTGGAATCAGAGGAAAATTGGTAAGAAAAAGTTTCATTATTATTCCCTATCTGCACCAACAGGCAACTAGAGATTCCAGAAGTAGGTTTATAATGACAGCCCCTGTATTTCTCTTATGACAAGTTCAATTTAAGCTTTGCTGTGCTTTTAATACCAGCCATTTTAAGTTAGCGAAGACTTATAACTTACATTGTTCTTCTGTGGGATATTGAAATAGGAAGCCAATAAACCTATAAAATTATTATTTATGTAAGTAGTACTAACAAATTATGCACAGTTGTACAAGAAAATACAAAACAAACATACAAATATTAACAACAGTCAATGAGACCTTTTATTCTGAGTTCACACCAATGCGGAGTGGAATATTGCATGTGATTCGCAGAGGAACCAAACCGCATCCCTGTGCAAATCACATGCAAATTCTGTTCTGTATGATTGGAGCCATACATTTTGTATGGCTCAATTCGTACCGCATCCGCACCAAAAAGGTGCAGGACCCTCTTTTTGATCCACACTAGAAACTAGGTATTCACACCTATGCGATCTGATTCTGCACATCGCACCACGTTTTGCGAACCGATTTCGGGGGGTTGTTAACTTAATATACACAACCGCAGCGGTTCACATGAACAAGGTGTGATTGTGATGCGGTGCGGAATTCGCAGAGACACCGCTGTGAATTCCACACCACATCAGTGTAAACCCAGGCTAAGGCTCGTTCACGTTACCCACATGGGTAAACTATTTGTTTTCCTGTGTGGGCTAGTGTTATGGGCTTGTGGGGGGGGGTGCCTTGTATTTTTAAAATTCAAGGCACCTTTATTTATTTATTTTTTTCATAACTTTACTTTACTTTAATGTCAGAAAGTGACATTTCAGTAATGTGTATGCACCACAGCTCAGTTGCAGTACATAGAAATGCACAGACTGACAGGGAGCTCCACATCTGCAGCCTCTTTTCTAGTAGGAACAGAGCACATATATAACTGTTTTTTATGTGACCTTCCAGAGGCTGACATTATCTAGTGCAAAAGAGTGCTTTTCCCTGTGAGTGTGAATTAGCTCTTAGTAGGATGCCCCTGCCCCAAGAGCTTACAAACTAATGAAAATGAACAAAGAAATAATTGAAGAACAAGTACTTCACTAAACAAAAACCATATGTATGTTGCTAACTAAAGATCCATCCAGCTAGAATCTGTGAAGAATAGATATAAACTGCATTGAAGGCAATGGGCTTGACTTTCTAAAGTGCAAAATCTGGTGTAGCTGTACATGGTAGCCAATCAGCTTCAAACTTCAGCTTGTTCAATTAAGCTTTGACCGTGTGATGGAGGGTAGGACAGAACACACAGAGCAGATGGCAAACGCACAAAACTGTACTGAGACAAAAACTGACAGTCACTCAATGGGGGGATTGCAGGGAGGGTGACCTCGCCAATAGGAGGACAGCAAGGAGGGGGCTAAAACACTTGTAGTCCAGCACCAAGGGCAAAGGAAAAGTCTCTGTAGCAGATTGTAATCCAACAAGGGAGGTAGGGGGTCATCACAGGAACAGTTCAGGTAAAACAGGGGAAAGCATACGCTCACGGATCCGACAGGGTGCCCGGTCTCCCAGGGATAAGATAGTAGGGCACAGGTACCTCTCCCTTTGGCTGGAGGTCCCAGGCAGGCTAGCTTGTGCGGTCTCCCCCCTTTGGGCTGGGGGTCTCAGGCAGGCTGGCTTGTGCGGTCTCCCCCCTTTGGGCTGGGGGTCTCAGGCAGCGGGCTTGTGCGGTCTCCCCCTAGGCTGGGGTCTCAGGCAGAACTGGCATCGCAATCTCCCCCTAGGCTGGGGTCTCAGGCAGCTGGCAGGCAATCTCCCCCTAGGCTGGGGTCTCAGGCAGGGCTTGGGTGCGTTCTCCCCCTTGGCTGAGGGTCTTGGCAGAGTTTAGCCACGAGGGTCCCACCGCAGCTGGGATCCCTCGATGACTGCGCAGCACAGAAGGATGATCGGGAAGAGCCCAGCACCAGTCTCTTAAACAGGTGTAGGGCGCTTACCAGTCACCCTGGCAACCAGGGGCAGGCCATGGGCGGCGTGCCTCTTTGCTTAGCAATGAGGCTCGGCTTCAAAGAGCCGAGGCAGGACGAGAGACAGCAGGGGGCCGGTCATCCTGAAAGGGGGGAAGTGGCTAAGGAAGTTTGGGCCAGAATACACACACACACACACACATGACAGAGAGGAAATTGTTAACAAAGTTTGGGCTAGAATACACAATAGAATACACACAGGACAGAGAGGAAATTGTCAAAGAAGTTTGGGCTAGAATACACAATAGAATACACACATGACAGAGAGGAAATTGTCTATGAAGTTTGGGTTGGAATGCATTATTGCAGGAGAGGAAAGGCATTAATTGAATTTGGGAACATAAAGCCGGATGACAGTGGAGGAAATACATTGATTGAATTTGGGAACATTTGGCAGGATGACAGGGAGGACATACAGTAATTACATTTGGGGACGTTTGGCACAAGGAATTAATGAGAGGTTTAAGCAGAAATTAATAATTGGCAGGGCCCCTATACCGTGACAAACCGAAAAAAAAGATTGGTTTGTGTGCAGAGCTGCACCACATTTTGCAATCTCCAGTTTTAGAAAATCAACCTAAATAGCTGGCTAAAAGGGATGGCATTGTCAAATGCAGTATGAAAGAAAATACTATTAATACACACCCCTACAGAATACAACTTTTTGTTCAAATAGGTTCAGTTCTGAATAGCTCTTGAACTGTATAACTTAATCATTAATTACCCTCTTAACCACTTGCCCTCCAGAGGATTTACCCCTCTTCCTGACCAGGCCATTTTTTGCATTATGGCACTACGTTACTTTAACTGACAATTGTGCAGTCGTGCAACGTTGCAACCAAATGAAATTTATGTCCTTTCTTTCCCACACATTGAGCTTTCTTTTGGTGGTATTTTGATCGCCTGTGCATTTTTTATTTTTTGCGCTATAAAAAAAAGACCCACAATATTGAGAAAAAAACAATATTTTTGACTTTTTGCTATTAAACATGTCCAATAAAAAAATTTAAAAAATCAAGTTTTGTCATAAATTTAGGCCAAAATGTATTCTGTGACATGTCTTTGCTATAAAAAAAATCCTAATACGTGTATATTAATTGGTTTACATGAAAGTTATGTTATAGCGTTTACAAATGACGGTATAGATACTGGATTTTTTTTTCTCTACTAGTAATAGCGGCGATCAGCGACTTATTGCGGGACTGTGGGACTGCGGCTGGCATTCTGACACCAGGGTGTCACTGACATACCTAGTGACACCAATACAGTGATCAGTGCTAAAAAAAGGCACTGACACTGTACTAATGGCACTGGGCAGGAAGGGGTTAACATCTGGGGCAATAAAAGGGTTAACTGTGTGCTGCTTTACAGTAAGATGTGTCTGTGCTTTCAACTGTAAGCACACTGCTTTGTATGGCTCTGCTATGCAGAGCCATACAAAGCAGTGTGCTAAAGCTGACAGGGGAGAGAACTGTATTGTTTACATACAGTTCTCTCCCCCCATCGGTAATACTTGGTGATTACCAGGTGCCGGCGAGTAATCACCAGCAGGGACTCAGTGATTGACACCTGAGGATGCGAATATTGGCACGCGTAGGGCGCGCACACAGCTCACTTATGCCCCCTACCTGGAAATGGAAAATCACATATATATACGTGAGTTTCGCACATCTGCTGCCCTGTAGCAGTATTTCTGCTATAGGGTGGCGAGAAAGCGGTTAATGTAGCCATAACATGTTGGCAAATACTGTTCCCCGTGCATTTATTTATGTGTTATTTATTACAGGTACATCTATAGCACCGTCAATTTATACAGTGCTTTACATATATATTTATTACACATTCACCTCAGTCCCTGCCCTCAAGGAGCATACAGTCTACTGTCCCTAAGTCACATTCATACTAGGGCCAATTTAGACAGGAGCCAGTTAACTTACCAGCATGTTTTTTGAGTGGGAGGAAACTGGAGAGTCTGGAGGAAACCCACGCATGCACAGGGAGAACATGCAAACTCCAGGCAGGTAGTGCATGGAGTTGGAATTTGAACCGACATCTTGCATAACACGAAAAGAAAATAATAGCACGACTACACTTACATCTGCCAATAATTGTAATATTTTAGTCTACCATTTGTCATGGATAGTGAATTTTTGCACTTTTCATAAATCATTTGCTGTAATAAATGTATTTCTTTTTAGAACATGTGTATTTATGATACAACTAACACTTCTTATTTACAGAGAACCTTCTGGATTGTGAAAGTGCTGACAAGTCTCTTTATTGGCACTGTGATTCTAAGTAAGTTTTTGCTGCTTATTCTAAATTGAATCTGTCCCAATGCAATGACATTGTGAAGGCTCTGTTGGAATCTGGTCATGTTGCACATAGCAGTTCAAGGGCAGTGAAGCTAATCAGCGAGTGACTGACCCTTGCCCAGTGCTGTGCGTGTGTTGAAGAATGATCATTTCCATCAAACCCTTCTTAATCATGTGCTTTGTTTCTTGCCCGTCACAATAAGCACTTTTTAAAATAAACATGAAATACACTTCACCTTGGCTTCCTTCTAATGTGATTTTTTTTTAACTCCAAGAAAGTCAATATTTGCATTTTAATTTTGAATGCATAAAACATTTAAACATAAATGGAAAATGTGCTTTTTTTAGACATTGCTTATTTTAGCATATAAAAAGCAATTTTTTCTGGCATTGATGTGAACTTGACCTAATTTAAGATAACAAGAGTATTAAAAGGGTATTAAGGTATGAACTCTTTGTGTTGACTACAAGTACCTAGTCGTTAGATTGATCTTCATATCTCTGTGAGGCCCTTTGGCTGATATGAGGCTATTCATAAGGCCTGGCCTTCTCGAGCCTAATACCTGTGGAACATAATCTTAATCTGGAAAGCAGTTAAAGCCCCAGGTGTAGCCTAAGCCTAGGAACCAAGAAGATTTACAGGAAAGCAAGGATTTAGCTGAATACTAATACAGGTACTTGCAGGGACCTACACTTTAGCAGTTTTGCTACCTTAAACATTTGTTACACCAGGTTAGGTTTACTTTGATGTCAACTATATATGTTGGGAGCAACATGTTTAGGTATGCTTGTTACATCTCAGTACCTCATCTAATAAGTATGCATCAAGATTATACCTAAAGTACTACAACACTCTGCAAGCAACCAAAATCAACACATATTCCTTCATTTTTATTTTAAGGTGGCCAGTTGTTTGTTTATTCAATGTATTTTGTTTCTTTCTTGCTTGGTTTCTCTTAATTTCTCCCATATCTGAAAAAAAAACACACCTTTGTTAACTTATTACTTGTGTAAAACATTCCCATCATTATAAGAATAATTAATCTTTCTCTTGCAATTCCAAGAATACAAATTAAACTTTTATATCCTACTTAAACTCTTTCTATTTTTCTTCTCTCAATTCTGGTAAATATTCATGTTAACTCTGGTCCCTATCTTATCCCTGCATACTTTTCCTGCTTATAGAACTCATGTTAATGACTGTAGACTCTGTGCTGCCACAGTAGCCTGTCTATTGTCTTGTTTATTGGTATATATTTTGTATGTTCCTCTATCCCTCCTTCTGTTTTGTCTCTAGTTAGTACAGTCCTTAACCAGACATTATTTGACTCTTCATTCTGTAAAGATTTAGTTTTACTGTCCACTGCAGAGACAGGGCATAGGAAAATTATTGCTCTCTTACACTTCAAAAGACATTGAAAAACATTGTTTGTATTGCACTTATCTGAAATAAAACCATGTTGAATTCAATTTCTGAATAGGGAGTTAATCTAACTGTGGATTTGCCAAGTCATCATGTGGCTACACTGTCCACACAGGCTGGGTCTAAGGGGGTATGCCAATGCATATATCAACATTTGAAACAGAACAGTAAGGCAGGTATCTGAAGCCTTCTACACAGTCTGTTCTATCTGCTGTGAAGTTCACCTGTGCCTCAATAAGTGCATGGTCTTTGTCTATACTACTAGCACGCTCACATTGCTCTACAGACTATTAATCACACCTTTTCTGAAGCAACTGAGGATCAGGCTACAGTCTGCTGCATTACTCTTGATGTGTCTGATCTTACTCATTGGTCCTCATTCACACTTGATGTTTTTACAGCAGCTGTTTTTGGCTTTTAATGTTTTTTTCTACAGCTAGTAAACCCCCAGCATGTTATCTTATGATATCCTATGTGTCCATACACACATAAACATTTTTTGGCTGGGACATTTTTTGGGAGGGAAAAAAAAACCCAGGACTAGTGGGTTTCTAGAGGAGGTTTTTTAGCTGTAAAAACACTCTAATGCTGAAAAACACAGCAAACCGGCATTTCTGGACTTTTTTTTTAAACCCCCCCCCCCCCAATTTTCATTTTGGTACAAAAAATTGCTAGAAGATGCTAAAAAAAAACCTCAAACGCGGCAAAACGCAGCTAGACGCTAATGCAAAAATGCTGAAAAAAGCTGGAAAACTCGTTTTTAATGTGACTTTACACAGCTAACGTTACCAGCGTTATCAAGATGTTCAGTGTGCATGTACAGTACTTTACTTGTGAAAGTGTAAGTACTGTTGTTTCTAGAATTATCCCTGTGTTGGAATTGCTAGACTGTTTGATTTCCGCTCTGAACAGACACCTGTTTTTCTGCACAACTTGTGACACAGATATAGCTACACTGCTCACCTGTCACATCAAAGATCTGTGCATACACTAGAGATAATCCTTGTTTGATTAGACAGTGAGCAACCATCACCACCTCAAGCTGAAGCTGATTTTCACAGGTAAAGATATCTGGTAGACCTAAATGTGCAGTTAAACTTTTCTTAAATCTTTACAAGAATTATGGCACAAACAAGAAAAAAATTAGACATTTGCAATTTGTTTCGGTCCGAATATAAATTCGGACGGATTTTTGGTTATTCGGCGATTCGGATGTATCCGAATCTCCAAATGAAATAGTAACAATTTTTTTTTAAATGCGTCCAGTTTCGTATATTCATTTTCTAATAATTTCTAAATTTTTGGAATAAATCGAATCGGTTGACAATTGATCGACGATTCCCAATTTTTGAAGAATAGCTGGTTGCTAAGGAGTAGGCCATCAAGCCGGCCACCAAGTCCTTAACAATCGATGACTCATCGGCTGTCGGCAGAGTTCCCTGCTGACTGCCAAATGCTGGTAATTACAACTTCTGAAAAAAAAAATGTGTGGAGTCCCCCCCTGTCACAAAGGTCCTGGTATGGGTCTGATATGGCATGCTGGATCGGCGATGTTTAAGAACTGTCAGATGGTGAAGCTGGTGCAGAGCTTTTTTTTGGGGGAGGTTGGCAGGTGGCGTTCATCATGATTGACATGGGATCTACTTCCGGGAACATATTTTTTTTTGGGGGGGGTGCTTTTTAATAAAGGACTTTCAAAAACTGTTTTTGCGTTTTTACTCACTACACTTTTTTTCTGTAGGGGTATTATGTATACTCATTCACATAGTGGGGGGGTCTGGGATCTGGGGGCCCCCTTGTTAAAAGAGGCTTCCAGATTGTGATAAGTCACCCCCTGAACCCCTGCATACACAGAACAGACCCTTGTCTTCATCAACATGGGGACATGGTGCTCTGGGGGGATCCCCCCTACCCCAAAGCACCCCCTGTGTTGAGAGCATGTGACCTGGTATTATTATTATTATTATTATTATTATACAGGATTTATAAAGCGCACAGTTCACTCAGCGCTGTACATTACAAAGGGGGACAGAACATGTGACAGAACAATAACAATACAATGCAAAACATGAGGGGTTCGAGGGCCCTGCTCTTTCGAGCTTACAATCTAAGAGGGAGGGGATGGTGGTACAGGAGGAGATAGCTGCGGGGGATGGAGTGGTAGGAAAAGTGAAGGAGGTCAGCAAGTTAGCAGGGGGTGGGGTAGGCTTCCCTGAAGAGGTGGGTTTTCAGGGTGTGCCTAAAGGAGAGGAGAGTAGGTGATAGTCTGATGGGTTTGGGCAGGGAGTTCCAGAGGATGGGTGACACCCTGGAGAAGTCCTGGAGGCGGGCATGGGAGGAGGAGACCAGGGAACTAGAGAGGAGGTCTTGTGAGGAGCAGAGTGTGCGTGTTGGGTGGTACTTGGATATTAGGTCGGTGATGTAGTTTGGGGCAGTATGGTGGACATCTTTGTACGTCAGTGTTAGGATTTTGAATTTGATCCGTTGCGCAATCGGAAGCCAGTGGAGGGATTGGCAGAGGGGAGTGGCAGAAACTGAGCGGTTGGTAAGGTGAATGAGTCTGGCAGCCATATTCAGGATCAACTGAAGCGGGGATAGCCTGTGGCGAGGCAGGCCAGTGAGGAGGGAGTTGCAGTAATCAAGTCGTGATATGATGAGAGAGTGGATGAGCTGTTTATTGGTTTCTGGGGTTAGGAACGTGCGGATTTTGGCGATGTTGCGGAGGTGGAGTCTGCATGAGTTTGGTAATGATTGGACTTGGGGCTGGAAGGATAGGTTGGAGTCCAGAATGACACCAAGTACTCTGGCCTGTGGGGCGGGTTTGATGGTGGCGTTGTTGGACGTGATGGAGAATTCAATGGGGGGTGGTGTCCGGGCTGGGGGGGAAGACAAGAAATTTGGTTTTGGAGAGGTTCAGTTTAAGGAAGTGGAGCGACATCCAGTCTGATATGTCGCTCAGTAGGTTATTGATTCGGGCGAAGACTGAGGGGGTGAGGTGGGGGGTTGAGAGATAGATTTGTGTGTCGTCGGCATAGAGGTGGTAGTTGAAGCCGTGAGAGTGTATGAGTTGGCCAAGGGAGGAGGTGTAGATGGAGAAGAGAAGGGGCCCGAGGACAGAGCCTTGAGGGACCCCAACAGAGAGGGGGAGTGAGGGGGAGGTGGTAGCATTATAGGTGATGCTGAAAGAGCGTTGTGACAGGTAGGATGAGAGCCAGGAGAGAGCGGAATCTCTGAGGCCGAGGGAGTGTAGTTTCCTGAGGAGGAGGGGGTGGTTGACTGTGTCGAAGGCGGCGGAGAGGTCAAGGAGTAGGAGCACTGAATAGTGGCCATTAGCTTTGGTGGTTAGTAGGTCGTTGGAGAGTTTGAGTAAGGCAGTTTCGGTGGAGTGTAGGGGACGGTATGATTCAGGAGGAGGGGCGCTCACTCATTCTCCCCCTTTCCTGGGCTGTCGGGCTCCATTCTCGGATAAGGGTGTGGTAAGAATTTTGGGGGGAACCCACACCATATTTTTTTACATTTTGGCATGGGATTCCCCCCTAAAATCCATACCAGACTTGAAGGGTCTGGGCTTGTGAGCAGGTCGAAGCTTAGCTAAAAGTCTTTCAAAAGAAAGGCAGCAGCAGCTATGGATTAACTCGGAATGTTGGAAAAAGCTGCAGAGGGAAAATAAGTCAATTGTCTGGTTTCAGATAACCTCTGATGACCCTACAAGATGATTGTTGCAATTTATTCTAAGCTAAAATGATGGCACAATTACACAAGATGCTTCAAATCCAGGTCACACTGGAATATCTGACACTTCTCTGCCTTTCAAGTTACTAACATCCTATGCAGCAATTCACATGTAATTGCAGACTCACTTTCTTGAACCCAGTCCACCAGATCACCTCAAAACCTCCTCAGATTGGTCAGATGGCTTTTCAGGCCCACATCAAAGTGTAGCTTTCACCTGGACTGAACTTATCTGCTACTTCTTTTTCTCTTCCAACACCTAAACATTATTTTTTTAATACCACCATTTCCAGCATTGGCAAAGGAGCAACTGTCACAAAAAGGCCAGGAAAAACTAATTTTCCAGACCTTGCAAAGTACATGAAACTCACAAAATGTATTAATACTTGCCTTATGAAGTTTGATTGAATTATCACCCAGATAACTACTGGAGCTGGAAGTCCATGTTCAAATCAATAGTCGAGGACCCTAGCATCCCACCTATGCAAGAACTTGATTTGGTAATCAGATGGTTAGTCTTCCAGTCATTGCTCTGTGTTCAGAAACTCAAAACTGTTCACATCCACAAACCAGACAAGGTCTTGCATGGGAAAGAATAAATCAACCTATGGCACTTCTGAAGTTATTAAGCTTGCCTTGTTTATGATACTGGGGAACTTTCTGAAATCATCGAACAGAGACAACCAAAAGTTCCAGGAACTAAGTAATCTTATTGAGCTTGAATTTGCAAAGGAAGACCAACATTTACAAGGTATTAGTTTCCTAGAAACTGCCATTTGAACTAAGTTATAGCAAAATTGACTTACAAGATCCAAGAAAAATTGACAACAGTATGTTCTAGGCATAAAAAGAAAAAGAAAATCTTCTTTCAACCTTTCCCTTTTTCAAAGTTTGAAGTAATAAAAGACTTAGTCAGAGCCAAGAATGATCCAAGCTTCTCAATTATTGATCTGAGCATTCCGAGGCGCCAGAAGAGAAGACCGCAGCATTAAATACAAAGACTATAAGCATGTTCTTTCTGTTAGAAAGATGGGGGATACACCTACTAACAGTGGCAACACTGAAGAAAGGTGAAAAGACTCAAACCCCTACTATCTAATTCATGAAAAATCAAATCCTCTTAGAAATTGTTTGTGTATTCAAGGGAATGCCCTTTGAAGAATGCAATGAGTTTCTAAGGAACCATACTGTGTACTTCAGATTCTGTGCATCCACAGATCATTTTTCCAGAAACTGCAAGGCTACAGTCAAAGTGGTTTTAAACATCTGAAAAGAAACATGAACAAAGCACATCCTTCTATACTGTGTTCTTGTCTCTATCCAAAGCACTGAAGGTAATTTGCTGCCTTGTTCCTTTGTTATCTGCATAAGTCACTTCTGACAGGTTTTTCCGACTACAAGAGATAGTTGATGATGAGGGAGAAGAGCTACAGCATATTGCCTGTGACTGACAGCTGCAGATGTGCATGTTCCTTGTGTATTGTGAGGAGGGGGTGTGTCCCTTTCCTCCAATCAGGGATCAGAACTTTCTTCACTGAGCTCTGCAGTGTGAGACATCAGATCCCCACCTGCTTCATTTCACATACTTTTCAGATGCTGTGTAAAATGTGTGTTTTGGAAGGCTGTAAAGAAGAAATGGCTGTATATAAACAGGTACCACATATGTAAAGGATTTATTCCATCTGGGTGTATCACCTGCTGCTAGTCACTTCAGTGGTTATTTGCAAAGGTTTTCAACCACTCTATGACCTCAAAATGTGACAGCAACATTCATGCATCAACTTTACAAAAAATGCCAGTAATACACACTGTCATGGCAGATAGGAATACGACAGAGACTAAAATATTGTAGCAATCTTCAGGAATTATTTAAATTCGAGTTTAGTGTATTAGAGAAACATCTTAAAGGTCTTTGTCCTTGTTGCAATGAGGTCTGACTATGCAATTTGTTAAGGAATTGTTAAAGCGGAGTTCCAGTTGAATAAAAAAAAAAATAAACGTTAGCAGCAACAAAAAACTATAGCTGCTGACCTTTAAAATACAGACACTTACCTGTCCCTCGGTCCAGCAATGTCCTCACCATGGCTTCTTTCACCGGTCATCTTCTCTCCCCGGCACCAGCATCTTCAGTGTGGGTACCCAGCTGTGACAGCTTGCGACTTCACAGCCGAGTGCTCATTGCGCATTCACAAGTAGCTCTGCACTTTGTGAATGGTCCCGTAGTCTTCTGGGACCTGTCATGTGGATCAGAAGACTATGGGGAAGGAGGGGGGAGGACAACTTCCTCTTCTGATCACCTTAGGCAATGTCAGCGAAAGTGGGAGCGGGTACCTGTAAAATTTGGGTACCCACTCCCCAAAGGTACCACTCCTTAACGGGGAGCGGGGGAAAAGGCTTAAAGCAGAACTTACCCTTTTGGGTGGAGCTCTGCTTTAACATACTGTGTGTGCTTCTGTGCCTTTCAAGGCAACAAATAAACCTTTTTACTTTTTAAAAAGAGTATGCAGCCTCATTTCCAAATAATCCACACAGACTGCTAAGAGGTTGAGGTTTCCAGACTTTAAGTGGAAATAAAGATATATTAGGTACAATCCATAGGAAATCAAAGTTACTATTTCAGCTTTGAAAAATTGACCAAACAAATGTTTTGTCAGTTGCATCTGATGATCAGTATAAGGAACAGTCAACAGAAGGCCTGTGAAAAAATTTGCAGAGACTCTACTGTACTTATGATTAAGGCAGTGGTAAAACTAAAAAGCAGGCCTTGATTCATATAAGCAGAGCATGTATTTTTAGGACAGAAGTCAGAAAATTATATTATTTAGTATGTTTTGAGTTCTGTGATTTTAATATTCATTAAGAACTGCCCCTCATCTAAAAAAAAAAAACAAGTCCCATTCAAGGCATATCATGATATTCCTACTATAATACAGGTAAAAGTATGACCATATTTTTTCAGATAGCACCAGTGATGAGATTTATAGATAGAAATGTAGGTAAAATGTTTTAGTCATAGAAAAACTGATCAATATGCGATTTTTCTTTCCTGCAGCCACGGCCTGCAGGAAAGCAAATCACTCGATTCCCCCGTAAACACATTTACTGCTGATTAGGGAATCCCTCCTGCAGCGCTATTGTGATATGCCGGCAGGGAGCTTTCCCTGCCAATCCTGATGGAACGACTTCAGTACAACCAGCCTGAACCAGCTGAGATTCGATCCATCTATGGCTGGCTTAATTCCATAAGGTACAAAATAATTTGCTGCATTCATTTTTTTTTATATCTCTAATTAATTGAAATCTGATCATTTAAATATGATAATTTATTTTTTATATCTCACAGAGAAAGGTATGTTGCAGAGCCTGACACAAAGTTAAAACAATGTCATGTTTGTTGAATAACTAAACTCATACATGTCCTGTGTTTTTCTTCTCTCCTTCTTTACAGGTGTTAACTTTACTCGTGACTGGGAGGTTGGATCTATAACTGTCACAACTGTGTACAAGTCTTTCAGTCATGCCATGGTGAATGCCAGTATTGGATTATGGGTTGGATTAAGGGGTTTAAATATTACTCTGGCAGGTATTTTTTTAACACTTTAATAATAATTTTATTAGCAATGCATAGTCCAATGATGTTCAGTAAATTGCAATAATTCATTAGATGAAGATGGTACCACTAACTGGATGATTAGATGATGTTTAGTTCTCTTATGAACTGTGTAACAAAAACAATTACCATTTTTTTTAAATTTAGAAAATACTAGAAAGAATAAATAGTGCAAATAAATAAAAGTTGACAATAAGTAACGCGTATAAGTAACGCGTATTATCATTATACTTCTGGTGAGTGCGCAATTTAACTATTACTCACGGAGCACCACCATTGAGTCTACCAGTCACTTGGCACTTTACAACTGCACAGACTGTTCATATTGAACCATATTTTATTCATTGTGAATACTTTTTGTCAATTTTTAGCACTGCACTATTTATTCTTTCTGTTTTTTTTTAGGCTTATGTTGGTTACCTTGAGTGCACAGCAGCTGTTTGGATAGCGCTCACTTTTACTATTGATCTGTATTTAGAAAATACTGTTTTTATTTTTTCCATCTTTTTTTGCATCCCAGGTCTGTTGATCTCCACATTTTTTTCAGTAATTTCCTGTCTAGCAGCAGCTGCAGTTTTTTATGCTCATGCTTTCCGATGGTGACAATGGTGGAACATGCCTGTGCAATGAGTATCAGCACAGCTGTAACTGATCACCAGAAGTTCATATGACAGGTTGACAATTTGAGAGAAACAACTGGGAGACATGGACAGAGGGCTGTCATCTGTTACAGGAAGTGCCTGAACATGGCAGGATTGCTAAGTATTATTTTATTGAAAGCTTTAGATTTTAAGATTGAAATTCTATTAACAATTATATACATTTTTAGACTGTGTCACTGGAATGCAAATGTAAAAAAATTTGCCCCCTGCAAAGAAGTATTTATTCAATGCATATTTACCTTTTCTGCCTTTACCTGATGCCTGTTCCCCAGTTTTGCCCTCTTTGTTCCTCCTAGTGGCCGTTTTCTCACAAAAGAATACAAAAGCAATCTAAGGGCAGGTTGACTCTACCACTATGCACAGCTGGGGACCTGGAAGTGTTGGATTTTGAAAATTCTTCAGGTATCAGTATATTTTTAATGCAGCAAAGATCAGCAGCAGTGAAGGACTAAACAACCCCGTGTTCGGTTCACGGTCGAACGTTCAAACCTAATCAACGTTCGACCGCGTACTTCAAACTCAATGCAAGTCTATGGGACTAGAACTTTTAAATTCATATTGCCCATTTTGAAGCAAGTGAATATGCAATATGAATATGCAAGTTATTGGCCAAAAAAGGGGTATGGGGACTTGGGCACTGCCCTGAGGGACATGAGTCAGTGAAAAAAAAAAGTATAGTTTTTAAAGGGGTGGTCAATTTTTATTGCTTAACCTCCCCAGAGGTATGATTATGTCCATATTTCTTTGCATGAAAAATATATATTTTTTTTTATTGTAGGCCTGGAATTTTTAGGAATAACTCACTGAAATCTGTCCGAACAAGTCTAGTAAACATCCCGGGTAGGATAAAACTTGAAACACAAAATCATAAATTATAATTTAATAAATAATCATAAAAATAATAATATAATAATAATAAATTTAATTCAATAATATAATCAAACCAAAAACACTGAAATTTGAAATATAGCGCCAAGTTCTCACATCGCTGAGCAAAGTCATAAAATCGTTTTCAGTGTCTGATGACGAATTTCCCCACGAATCATTATCACTCAATTCTACAAGTGGTTCTGATTTACTATTGCTATTCTCTAGCCGGTCTAAAACCGCTTTTGACCAAAAGGGACGCTTTTTGGACGCCATGGACTTTTCTAAGTTTCCTGGCAGAAAGAACAGTAAAAATGCTGGCAGGGCACAGGACAAAGCAGTAGGGACAAAATGTACGTGAAATAGTTTGATTTTTAAATTTGCCGCTGTTCCGGCCCCTGTACGTCCCGTACGTCCTGATGCTCGCAGGGAGTGGAACACGGAAGCCGGATGCCAGCATCTTCCGGAGGAGATGGCCAGGGTTGCTGCAGGGAACGCATCATGGGAGACGAAGGACAAGGTAAGCGCTGCAGGGAATCCCTGAGCAACGCCGCATGGTAAGCCCGAGTGTAGCTTGGGGTTACCGCTTTTGGTACTGAAAATTTACCCCGAGCTACACTTGGGAATGCCACTAGGGAGGTTAAAGTAATAAAAAAAATTCCCTTAAAATTCCTTTAAATATCATGCTGGGGGGGCTGACTTTTTTTTAATTACATTTTTATAAAAAAAAAAATTGAAAAATTAAAAAAAAAGCATGGTGCCCTCCCCCATAGTAAATAGTTCCAAAAAAAGTGCATAGGGAACCCCCTAAAAGACATACTGGGCCCTTTAAGCCTGGTGAGACTTTTTTAGGGGAAGTCTACCTGCCCAAATGAGAGGAAAAAATGCGTGGGGTTCCTCCTAAAAGCCATGTAGACCTGGTAGGACTTTTAAAGGGAATCCCACCCTCAATAAAAATGGGGGGGAAATCTTGGGGTCCCCCCTAAATTCTTACGAGATGCTTGATCCAAGCACAGGCCTGGCAGGACTTACCAGACTACATGCCCTTGGCATTGTGACAGTGTTCCCATGCCGGTGGGGACAAGGGTTTCTTCCCACAACCCTGGCCTGATGCTGCCCACCCGTGATAAGTAAGGGGTACACAAAAAACACAGTTTTTGACAAGTCCTTTAATTAAAAAAAAAAAAGCCAAAAAAATTGTTCCGTCATTGTAATTCATCGTCATTCACAGCGTGTCCATCCTTGGAACAATGCCGCCGGCTTGCCGAAATGAAAAAAACCTGACGCCCGCTGACCCATGCACACCCAGCCGGTCAGATGTGACATCACCACCAGCTCTGCCCAATTGTGCTGTGATTGGCAAAAGCATTGCACCTAACCTGTGTCTGGTGCATTGCTTCGGCCAATCATGGCCCTCACAATGCACTGTTCGGCGAACACACGAACGGTCAGTGTTGGAGTTGAACTTATCTTCGACTTGATCATCAAGCCCATCCCTAAGCAACAGCAAGGAATAGGTTAACATTAACTGTCTTCTTTGCTACTTTGCAGGAGGAAATATTTTACTTTTCTATTCAAGGGACACAGCCACTTTAGGCCCACTGTACCCAGGAATATAATTGTTGTTCACAAATTACTGATTAGTGTCACTTATGCATTCAGATGCATATTCACATGTATCCAAAGACTTTGACACATTCCTACAGTTTAAAAAGTTGTGTTTCCTTAGTAATTACTTGGTATGCACTGTTAGTTGTAATATTACCTTCAAATTGTTCAGTGTAAAGCTTACAACTATATCTGGCACATTTTAGTTTCCAACACCCATTGGAGTTAACAAATGTTCTTAGATTAGATCTCCTCAGCAATTATGTGTTTTGGCTACTGCATTCTTTTGAGAGATGTTTTGGCAGCACACATAGTTTAAGTCATTTATCAGGAAAAGGGTCAGGAATCCTAATAATAAATGATTGCAGATTCCGGACTTGTTCAAGCAATATTGGAAAGAAAGCACTGGTTGAACCAATGGATGATTGTTAAAAAATGTACATGTAATGGGAAAATAGAACTGTAATAGGTTAAATGCTAAACTATGAATATTGGTATTTATTTTTTTTTATTCAATAGTAGTAATTGCAATGAGAATATTATTTAAATATGAAGATTATGTCTCTAACAAGAAAAGTTCAGCTGAAATTTTCCATATGTGTCTGTGATTTACCATGTGTCTAAAGAATCTCTGAAGTTGTGGTAAAGATATAACCTTGCAAAGCACCAGTACTAGGGATGTTTGTTTCTTCATTCTGTAAAATCTAGCATTGTGTTTGCTGTGTCCATGACCTTGAAAAAAGAATTTTACTGGCTGCTCTGCTGAATATAACTCTGGGAAGAAGCATGGGCCTATAAACATCCCGTATATAGTGTGTCATGGAAACAACAGGCATTAAAACACAGCTGCTAAATGGATATGGTTGCTAGGATACTTTAGATCAAAATTTACTATCATCTTGAAAGTACTTGTCGGAGGAAGAATTAGCTTTTCTAGTGGGATCCAAGATACAGTCAAGTACAGGATAAAAATGGAATGTGAGCTATATACAATGGATTGTATAAGATTAGTATTAAAGGATACTGTAAGTTCACATTTTCAAAAATAAATAAATAAATGCACACTTTTTTGTAAAAAAAAAAAAGTGTGTATTTATTATTTTTTTCTAAGAAGCCTATAGAGCATTGCACCCACAATTGTGGGTGAAATCTTAGGCTCCTGCAGATTTTCATGATAGCTGCCTCCCCGTATCTCATACAGGCAGACAGTTACCTTGAGAGAAGGAAGAATCAATGGACTACCAGAGAGCTAACCAACGTCCTCATAGTTCATTGAGAACTACAAGCTGTCAGCCATCAATAGTTGATGGTACTTGTAGGCATTCACTCACAGGAAACTGGATGAATGATACAGCCATATGGGCAGAGCCCAGAACAGCCATGTTATTTTCAACTTGTGTACAGGGAGAAGATAACCGAGCCTGCTGTCAGAGGAAGGGGGATCGAGGGGAGAACTGCATGAGTGGGAACATGTTACATTTTCACTCTAAAACTGCATGGGACATGTAACATATTCCCAAAGGTGAAATTATCCTTTAACTAGAATTCTGTAACATCAGTAATTTACTGTAATTGTGGAAATGGCATCTACTAGCTACCAACATTCCACAGACCCTAAAAGAAAAGAAGTGAGGAGTCCAAAACCGACATTGCCCTACTGACTAGGATCTTGAACAAGGTGAATGATTGCCCTGCATTCCCAGATAGATTTGCACCTATATTGTACATAGTTCTCCACTTTATAAAGTAGACTTGTTAGTTATAAATGTTTTTGCCTCCCAGAGGATCATCGTCTTCTAAACCCCCAAACAATCAAACCCTGAAAATTTGAAAAATGAAGGAATATCTGCATCTTTACGACACAATGCACTGTCTGATTAATGTTTCTGTATGTTCCCATAAGCAAGTTTGTAAACAATGCAATCACTGCTTTTGCATATACATTTAAATGATTCTAAAGGCTCTATTTTTATTTTTTTAAAAATAACAAACATGTCATACTTACCTGCTCTGTGTAATAGTTTTGCACAGAACAGTCCAGATCCTCTTCTTCTGGGGTTTCCCGCCAGCACTCCTGGCCCCTCCACCCTGCTGAGTGTTCCATAGCAAGTCGCTTGCTCTGGGGGTACTTGTGCATGCTCGCTCAAGAGTAGGATCTGTGTGCTCATAGGACACACAAAGCATTTCTCAGCCCAGCCTCCTGCTTCCTTCTCACTGGCTGTAGTTAACAGCAGCAGGATCCAATGGATCCCACTGCTGTGTCTGAGCCAATGAGGAGAGTGAGAGCCTCTGCTCTTGTGCACATCGTTGGATCAAGATCAGACTCAGGTAAGTATAAGGGGGGCTGGTAGGAGGAGCTGGTAACCTCCAGGTTATCATGAGAACAAGGTTTCAGTGATTCAGACCCTTCTATGGCACTATTTGCATGTAGTGCAGTTGTAGTTATAGCAGTTGCAGACCTGAATTCTACAAGAGTTGCATTATAGAACAAAGTGCAAAGTGACACTCTAAATGTACATATACTATTATGACATGCCAGCATGATGTCATCACAATATTTTCAATGATGCAGTGTCTGTACCAAGGCTTGTGGGAGTACAGCTATTAGTTGCTATTGGAACAAGGCTGCCAGCCTACCCCTCAACTATGAATCCACATATGGATATCGCATGTTCTGTGACTTAATTCAATGTAGCTTAGGTACTGATTGAATCTGATCAATAATATAACCTGCATAACTGATATGTGTATTTAATTAAAAGGATTAACTAGCAGCCGTGCACGATTATGTAAATGTCAAGTAGCCTGAAATATATTGTATAATTTAAACCATTATAAGAAATGCTAAGCCACCCACACATGTTCCTCAAAGGTTGTTTTTGTTTCTTGTTCCTTCAGGGGATCCTATTCATCAGTTTAATGAAACTATCAACTACAATGAGAGGTTTTCTTGGGAGACCAGGATCCAGTACGACAAAGACTATCAAGATGGATTAGAAAGGGGTCTCCCTAATCCCATATTATACGTGGCTGAAAAGTTTATCAGCATTAGTCCTTGTAGACTTCACCAGCAATATTGTGCATCCACCTATTATGCATCGGCACTAATGTGGTAAGATGGTTTAGCCTGAATGCCATCCAGGCACATATTGGTCCAGGTAACATCCCTGCATGCAGATTAAAGTGCATGTTTTGACAAAAAAAATGTAATTCAATCTAGGCACCTAAAATTGGACATTAAACAAACACAGCCAAACTAGAACTAAACTGTACTCATTGAACATCAGTGTACAATCAACTAGGTATGTTCAGGGATCCAGGTTGCTATTCAGTTGTACATCCATGCACACATGTGGGATTGTAATACAACCATTCCACAACAATCTATCCATTGTCAGTGGATTCTCAGAACTCAAGTGGGCTTATAAAATCTCCATTCTGGTTTTCTAACCAGTTTGTTGAGCTGGCACATGAGTGTTGAAGAAGGGGGAATGTAGATACAGGGACAAAAAAGGCATCCATATGATGCACAAGGTATCAGTAAATATATAATGCAGCGCTGTATATAATATAAATGAATTGATCTAATAAACTGTATGTATGGTATAGCTATCATAAACATGCACTGTGGAACGCTATAACCATTAATGTGAATAACGTCTTGGCGTTAACGTTTAAAGTGCACAAGTGACAAAAATGTAATATAAAGTTTCCAAGTCCAATAAAATATCATCAGGTGAATTCTGTGATTCCAGTGGCTGTAAATTAATGTATATTGCACTAACCAGAAAGCGCAATATAATGCGCATTTGAGTAAATCAGACCACTCCTGGTCATCTGGATCTGGAAAGGTCACTCAGGGGATCATCTGGCAAACCTCAGCAAGACAGAGAATACACAACATCACTCTCCAGGCTCCAGGAATGAACATCCATCCAGCAGGGGGAACCACTCATGAGGGTAAGTCAGGACTAACAGGAATCCACCTTGGGGGGGCTCATAATAAACAAGCCAGAGAAGAAACCTCTAATTGTGCAGTATTTTTATTATCAAAGCTTTGATAATGTGTTTGGGCACGAAACGCATTAGAGAGGAGCCTGGCTGGTGACGTCACACCGCTCAGACCATGTGGAAGACCGGTGCCCATCTTTGACTCTGTCTTTTTATGCCAGATGTGAGTGCATTCATTTGATGTGTATTTACCCATACCGTTAATAAAAATAACTATACCATACATACAGTTTATTAGATCGATTCTTTATATTTTATAGAGCTCTGCATATATATATTTACTGGTTTATGAGAAGGATTTTGAGGTTTGCCTTCATGCTAGCTGCTCGTCATTTTTCCTAGCTCTCGTTTTATACATTCAACCATTTGATGCACAAGGTATCTCTACCCATCACTCCTCCTTGGAAATTGACCAGCATGTGTCAAATTATCTAGAACACCCAAAATCCAGACACAGGAAGCAACCAAAAATGATATGCACACTAATATCCAATCTGCCATTTGTCACAACTGGGGGTCTTGTAAGAAACCTTGCTCCTGACACCTCCAGCCAGCATACTCTGCGTTCAAGCAGACTGGTACAGTTACAGGTTAGCTAAACCAGGAAATCACTTACAGTGTTAGTGAAATCGTCTACTTTTTAGATTTGTGTCTTCTTTACACTGTGCATCCAAAACACCCTACATTCTCACCCCATATGCATCATAACCCCCTGCCATATCCCCATATAGGGAGTTAATAGTCTTCTGTGATCCAGGTCTCATTCATGTTATTAAAACACATACAATCGAATGAGAGCACAAAACAAACATCAAAGAGTCCAAGGTAATTTAATGACAAAATTGATTCAAATCAGAATAGATCCAATGGGGTTGATTAAAACTGGAGAGTGCAAAATCTGGCGCAGATCAGCATTCCCCCCTTTATCAGGGCTACAAAACAAGAACTAAGAAAAAAAGTCATAAATTAAGTACTAAGAAAAAAGTCATAAATCTAAAAATAAAAAGGTCATAAATATAAAAGACAATAATACAAAAAAAATGAAAATAAAAAGTAAAAATAAACAATGCAAATGATGATAATAGTAAATTATAATAAATATTCATTTATATTTTTACATTTTATTAAATGTTTAATGCAGTGGGGAACAGGAAAGAAAAAAGAAGCCTACAAACTATACTATTACGCTGTTTTGCCAATGGTCAATTTGTACGATGTTTAAGGTTTTAGCTTTATTTTTTAAGAATAAACTTTCCTATAGCTTTTAGATCTTTTGTGGCTGTTGCTTTCATTGTTCAGACCTATTACCACTGGATAAAATTTCTGCTGTTGCAGCCAAAAATGCCTCTTTTCAAGATCAAATGAATCAGATTGGGGTGCGGCTGTATTTAAGCTAAATGAACATAAAATTCAATTACACAATGATGTGATGCCAGAATAAAGTGCTAATGAAGCTGTCCATGAAAATTGTATTGTTCTGTAACACCACATACAGCTTAAATGCATCTCTCAAGCGTAAATTTAAAGGAAAGGCGTTTTCTTGCATGTTGCCCTTTAAGTAGCATTGAAGGAGCCTCTCCCCTTATGTTTTTTTTTCTTCTTTTGTTAAATGTCCTTCATGGCAGTGCCTAGCTCCCCATGCACTTTTTTTGACAGTAGCTTTATTAGTTGAAAATGGGCAGAATTTTGTATCAAGACTCAGCCCCAAAACATCAATGAGGTTCGCAGCTAAGTTCTCATTTTGTGAATTTGAGACAGGACTCAATGAACCCCCAGAAACTGAAGATAGTCTCTTTGCGGCGAGAGTACACATATATGCGGTCTCTCAGAGGGTGAGCCTTCATGCCAAGATGCCTGAATATATGCATACCAAAATGTAAACAAACGTGTGCCAAGAGCATGCATCCTGCACGCTCTCTGCATTATTATTGGCACCTAATGGAAAGCTCTATGGGTTTAATTACCATGAGATACAGTGGGGTTGTATTGAGTTTATTACCACATTACATGAGTTGCAGTATGTCAATTTTTTGTTGATTTGAGCTGCACTTTATATGTTAATGGTCAATTCTTTAATTAACTTTCTCATCCCTTCTGGTGTTGGAATGTATATGATTATTAGAGGTACTGTACCTGGCTATTTGTTTTTTTTCTCTTTGTACTAAATAAGCTTTTCTCTGGGTTTTAAAGACAATGGGGTTGATTTACTAAGACTGGAGAATATACAATCTGGTGCAGCTGTGCATGGTAGCCAATCAGCTTCTAACTTTAGCTTGGTCAATTAAGCGCCGACAAATGAACCTGGACGCTGACTAGCTACTATGCACAGTTCCACCAGATTCTGTAACTCCAGTTTTAGTACATGAAGCCAATGTTTATGCTTGTAGATGTGTTCCTGTAACTTTTCTTTAAGTATTCTGCTCGTATTTTGAGATGTTTATTCCTGTTTTCTGGGTCAGAACACATATGGTGGTATCTTGTGGTATGGATCTGTATAATGGCTCATTTGGTGTGTAGGGGGTGGAAGCCAGAACAATGAAGATAGTTGATTCAGTCAGTGGGTTTTATGTATATTGAGGTGTGAAGTAGGGCCTTTACATCTTAGTAGATGAGGAAGGAAACTGTATATCAGGGAAGGATGTTTGACTGCTAAGGGAGGTATTAGGTTCATATTATAGATTGCACATGTATTCTGGATAGGTGGGGTGTCCATATACTTGATTTGACAGAAGAACCAGGACCCTGGAGACTTCTGATCGTTGTATTATTTGCAAGAACTGTTGGACTTTGTTATCTGTTCTGGGATCCAATAAATGCCACTCTTTGGAAACCACCAAGTTGCTGTGAGAAATGTGTTTGGATTGGAGGAGTTTGTGTTCAACACCTGTCTCTAGTTTCCATTGCAGCATATCAATGTATTTATTTATTATAGATACTTATATAGCACTATCAATTTACGCAGCGCTATAGACACACACACACACACATATATATATATCAAGCAGAGACCAAATGGGTATTTGAATTGGATACGCTACACCCCTTGGGGCACAACATAGAAGTTGATGTCAACTGTTTTATTGCCAATAGCTGAGGTTTCCCCCCCCCCCCCCTCTTCTGGTCTTTTGATCATGTACCTGATTTGTACAGATAGATATTTATGGTCACTTAGATTGTACTGTTTCTGGTGATTCATCCCTATCCTAGTCTATGTTTATAATTGTATAATTGGGTGTGTTTTTATGGATACATGATTATTTTCCTATTATGGTTATTAAGTATCTATCACGTGGGTCCGACCCTGACCAGTTTGATCATGGGAGATATATACCATTTTATTTGAATTTCTTATGGATTTTATATATCTCTACATTTTTATTTTATTTTATTGTATTTTATTTTTATTTATACTGGCTGATGTAACTTTGATTATTCTAGATTTTTATGAGAATTTGAGATGCTGATTTATTTATTAATATTATTATTATTTAATAATATTTTCAAGTTTTTATGAGCACACTGACCCTGCTTTTATATAAAATTCCTATACATGTTTTATATACAACCCTACACACATTATTTATTACTGACAGTTTCAGGATGATTTATATATGTATCTGTCAATATGGATCTTCATTAATGTCTGCTTATTGTATTGTACGCCCTTCTTGCCGTGCCGGATGATGTCATTCTAAGTACCAAGGATAACCTTTCATGGGGTATATAGAACTCCTGGTATTTAATAGAATACCTCCCCAGGATCATTATACATTTACATTGGAATTCATTAATATGTATGTAAACGCATTACGAGTTGGTCATTATGTAAGACCAACTATATGTGAATTTCCCTGGAGTCTGTGGCATCTACCGCCGCCTGTTTCCATAAGGCTACGTTCACACTAGCGTTGTGTGCAGGCTGCAGAGAGGCATTTGGGAAGCGTTTTTACCGCTTCCCAAATGCCTCTGCCAATTCTGCACGTTACAGCACACGGGAGTGTTTGCGTCACGTCGCGGCAAAACGGGTGCCTCTGGTCGAGTCAGGAGGTGTTGAAGCCTCCTATTCTAGTCTATGGTGCCGCTCCGCAAACGCCCGGCTGG